AAAAATATACATTACTGTGCAAAAACTATTGGTAGCTTTAATGTTAATATTAATTTAATTTAATTATAATACTTACAATAAAAACACATTTTTCGTATACTGAACGTTTTGATAAAATCATTAAAGGACAATTCACTGCAAGCCCTGTACTCCTTGCACGATGTATTACCTTCTAAAAATTGTTTAGTATTATTGTCTAAGAGTTACATTATTAAGAATTTCTGTATGCTATAGGAAACTGATATTGTAATAGCAGCATTGACAATGACCTCGGAACGGGAGGAAGTTATCGATTTCGTAGCACCCTATTTCGAGCAATCGGGCATACTAATTGGTAACATCAATCAATTTCACTTTTATTCAAATTAAATTCGCACCATAAGTAAATATCTCTTTTTTTAATCGTATTATTTTTTAAGTAATGAGGAAACCAGTGCGCAAGCCGTCGCTCTTTAAATTTATGACAGTACTCAAAGTGGAAGTGTGGTTGAGTATCGTGGGAGCTTTGACTCTCACTGGTATCATGATTTGGATATTGGACAAGTATTCTCCATATAGCGCTAGGAACAATAAACAATTGTATCCGTACCCTTGTCGGTAAATTTCATGTTTCATATTCTATATATCATTTATTCAATATCGTACAAATTTTTGTATTCAAACTTTCTAATTATTTGTTCAGTGAATTTACGTTGAAAGAAAGCTTTTGGTTTGCTCTAACGTCTTTCACGCCGCAAGGCGGTGGCGAAGCACCCAAAGCTTTATCTAGCAGAACATTGGTGGCTGCATACTGGCTTTTCGTTGTTCTGATGCTCGCTACGTTCACCGCAAACCTGGCAGCTTTCCTTACCGTGGAAAGGATGCAGGTACCCTCTAAAAAACCTCATAGGAAATATAATTTATTTCTGTTAATTCGTTTCCGTTGTAGTCTCCCGTGCAATCTTTGGAGCAATTGGCGAGGCAGTCGAGGATCAATTATACTGTACAGGCGAATTACACGGTGCATCAGTACTTTATGAACATGAAGAATGCAGAGGATAAACTGTACACGTATGATCTTCAATTTATTTAATTTGTAGTTTTTGTTAATTTTGTAAATGTTTTGACTTAAAAGAATTAGGATTCGACCGACTCCATTTAATTTAAATAATGAAATTAATTTGTCTGTAGACGAATAAATCATTGTTACTGGATTAATTTTTTAATTCGAATTTAGAGTGTGGAAGGAAATTACGTTGAACAGTACCAGCGATCAAGTTGAGTACCGCGTATGGGACTATCCGATCAAGGAACAATACGGTCACATATTACAGGCGATAACGCAGGTCGGTCCGGTGAAAACCGATGAAGAAGGCTTTCGAAAGGTAAGCGCTTGCTTGCTTAGTCGGTCGGTCGTGTCAGGAAATTTGCAGGCCTGCTATCGGTTTTTGTCACCAGGTGATAGAAAGCGAGAACGCAGAGTTCGCTTTCATCCACGACTCGTCCGTGATAAAGTATGAGGTAACGAGGAATTGCAACTTGACGGAGGTTGGCGAGGTGTTCGCCGAACAGCCTTACGCAATCGCCGTTCAGCAGGGAAGCCACTTGCAAGAAGAAATTAGCAGAAGGTGTGATTAATAGATTTTTATTTCGTGATAAAACATTTCGAAAATAAATAATAATTTGTTTTACCCTTCAGTATTTTACTTTAGATTAATCACTGCATCAAATCTGCATTATAATAATTAAACTTATATAAAATGAGAATGTTTATCGATTTTTTTCTGATAGAATTCTGGACCTGCAAAAGGATAGGTATTTCGAAACATTGGCAGCCAAATATTGGAATCAGACGCTGAGGGCACAGTGCGTTAATTCCGACGATAACGAGGGCATAACGTTGGAGAGTTTAGGTGACTGTGAAATTCTTGCACCACTTCAATTGTGGAAAAACTTGACCAATAGCCTGGGGATGTTTATAAAAATTTCTAATTTTATAAATAAAACTAAAGGAAAGCATATAAACATTTCCCCACTAAATATTATTAATTGTATTTTACTTAGGATATTTTGTATTTCTATATTCTGCATGCTACGTAAAATTATTTAAAATTCCCAAGATGTATAAACATCTGCAGATTATTGATAAAATTCTAGATTTTCGAATATATAAGACTATATTTAAAGCAACACTATAATTATTGTTTTCAAGCACAAAAAATCTGTCTTTCTAAATTACATTTTTTACGTTGAATTTTCACAATTATTGTATGAAATTGCATAAGAAAAAATTTCGCAGGGGGAGTGTTTATCGCAACCCTATTCGGCCTCGCATTGGCGATGGTTACGTTAGCAGGAGAGGTGATTTACTACAGAAAACGAAAGGATCCTCAAAAAGAGAAGCGGAAAGACAAGAAGAAATCGAAGGTTACTGACAAGGAGAAGATGATGATACAGAAGATGGCCTCGAAGTTGCAAATCAAACCAGCGCCCACCAATCCGTTCCTGGAGAAGTCGATGAATCCACCGCGAATATCTCACATCTCTGTGTACCCTCGTAACTTTCCCTTTAAAGAGTAAACGACATGACTAGATTGTGGGGTTTTATTAACATCAATTCAATATATGTAATTTCTTTTATCGGTTTCTTTCATCGATTTAATAAATGTGCTTATATGTTTCTGTATATCGCATAAAGTATTTATTTTTTATTTCTTTCTAAATGCATCCCCAGTCTAGTCAAGCCTAAAGAAGATTCATCGATGGTTTGGAAACAGGATTGGAATTTGATAATAGTTTTGATAAAAAGGAGCGCAGCGTAACGAGATTGGCAGCCGTTTAACCGAGGTTTTTCTCTCTTTCACAATGTTTACCGATTCTTCACGCCTCGCGTAACCCCCGGAAACAATAGACGATGCCTGTTTCCTAAGACGATCTGTAGGCAAAGGATGTTTCACTTTCGTTACGATCAAAAATTTATTAGCCACCTGTAGATAAATAAATATTTTTTACACTGTCATTTGTTGTCTTTTAAATCCCCTAAAGATTTATAACACAAATACGCATCATATAATACAGCAATTTATTCTAGCATTTATAAATTACATAAAACGATCATCTTGAAGATCATTTTTCTCTAAGTGCATCGAATCGTTAATCTAATTTTTAATTGGCTTAAAGAAAAACAATGTTTTTGCAAAAACGACTAAGCAGCTGCCTTTTTTTCCTTGCAAGACCTTCTATCCTGTATTTATAAGCTGTTGTCTGTCACTCAGGCGTTTTTCGTTCGCGGTAACGGAATTGCATAAATGAAAGTGAGCTGTTTTACGGCCGCTGGTTCAAATCATTTTGATATCGATCATTGACTTTGTGGACAGTTTCGCGATCGGAGACAAAGAGTGGGGCGAATAGTTTTCGATTTGCCAAGTCGATATAAAGGTTTCCAGCGCTTAGGCGAGATCATTTCATGGGAAAGTGATGTGGTTCGCCCGACCGGAAACGAAACGAGTGATCATTCCGCGAGATGACTTCCCATAAGGTTTATCCCTTCGGCCAACTGTTCCTGGTAATAGCCTTCAATATTTTTCCGACAAAACATCTTTTTACAAATATAATAGATTCCGTTTTAATACAACGTCTATCAGATTCGTATTTGTACGAAAATTAAATATGCAAACCTGTATAAAAATATAAAGAATAATAATTATATATTTCTGTATTCGCACACGAGAACAATTTTCAATAATAAATTAATACAATAAAAACTGTATTTGTATTTTTGTTCCCAGGTGTGTTTAACACTGGCAATATTTTTGGAATCGACGAACGGCGACTTCTATGACCGTTTCAGATACTTGTCGAATTACAATCGGCCATGGTCCCACTTGAATCATGACACGTCTCTAGACTTCGCCTCGTCCGAGCACCTGCCGTCCTACGCTCGATTTTCCGAACCGAGAAGTCCGATCTTCGATTCCTCCGAATCGAAAGAATGGTTCACAGCCTCGGCCAGCAAGAAAATTCCGACGGAGAGTAAAAACTCGAAGAAAGCTGTCTCCCCGTTTTACACCCTCACCGACAAGGACTCGCAGAAGTACAGAGACATGGTTTTCAAATCCGGGGTTCCGTACTGTCAAGAAATCAAAACTAAGCGAGCTACTAAAGATGACAACACCGTCTGCTATAAATGCAAAAATCCAAAGAATGGAGCCACTTACGAACAGTGTTCTTACGCTTCTAAACCAGATTCTAGTAACATAGACGAAGTGGTGATACCAGGATTCAGAAACAGGAGATCTAATTCGGATGAAGGATTCAGGCGTTCTGATTATGGAAGGTACCATTCGCCCTACAGATTCAATGACAAAATCTTTTCCGAAGCTACAGAGGACGTCCCGTCGGAATATAAGAAGAAGAATGAGAAGTGCGAGAAGGTGGTGAAAGATTCGATGGTGTGTATGGTGTGCAAAGACACCAAGAGCAATGCCAAATATGAACAGTGTAGCTACGTCCAACAGCCGACTGAGAAGAAGTACGCTTATTCCAAATCCAGTTCGTTCAAAGATCCTGAGAAACGTGAAAGTAGAAATGAGGAGGATGAGAGAAAGCCTGATAAAGAGCATTCAGAAAGTAAACCGGTTAAGGAGTATTCGAATTCAAAGGATAAAGAATCGGACAAAGGATCTGAAGAAGAATCTGGAGAAAGGAAGGATTCGACTAACAATTGCAAGAAAGTGCAAAAGGACTCGCAGACTTGTACCGTCTGCAAGGACCCGAAGACTGGTGGAAATTACGAGAAATGCTCGTACACTTACGAGCCAGAAGATAAGGTTTACAAGTACAGCAGATCAAAGAGTTTCGGATACCCCAGAAGTTCCTCCTCCAAAGATGATTCGAAGGAAGAGCCCAGCGATGAAAAGGACAAATCAGAAAAATCCGCAGACGATGAGTACAAGAGAGATTACACTATTCCAGAAAGCTTTTATGAATACTCCTCTCCGAGTTCGTATTTCAAAGACGAGAAGCCAAAGTCTAATTACAATCGTCAAGCACCTTCCAAGGACTCGAAATCCTCCGAGGATAACGATGATTCTTTCAGCTATGAGAGATCTAAATCGGAATCGGAAAAAATCGCCGAAAGCATGGAGACAAGCAACTGTAAAGAAGTTCAGAAAGACTCGATGGTTTGCAAGGTTTGCAAGGATCCAAAAACTGGAAGTAACTCGGAACAGTGTTCTTACAAGTACGAGCCAAGTGACAAAAGTTATTCCTACTCGAAATCGAAATCGTATGGCAATCCAAGAGAATCGGACGATAAATCTCATGACGGGTCTGAGAAGAAAGAAACCAAGGAGCCTTACCACAGTCGCTATGATTATCCCGAAGAGAAGAGATCTTACGTTACCGACACTGACAGCAAAGACTCGTCCACTACCAGTGAGTCTAAACCGGAAGCGAAAGAGGAAAGGTCCATCGCTGCAAAGAAGATCGACGAGAGTTTCTACGACGCTTTTAAAAAGAAGGAGGAGATCAAGAAGATCCTTCAGGAGTTCCAGAAGGAAGACAGATCCAATTGTAAAAAGATCATGCGCGACAAGATGACCTGTTACGAATGCGCGGATGAGAAAGGATTCAAGAAAGAGGAATGCGCCTTCGTGGCGGCTGAGGAGCCGGCCGAGGATAAGATTGATTATAGGGAGGTGAAGGAGTATAAAGGAGAGTCTAGTAAGAAAGTTCCCAGGCATGCGATCTTCGAAGATTTTCCTATAGAGCCGGAAGCCGCGGCTAGCGACGTTGCTTATGTAAAAAAAGAGAAGCCGAATTCTGAAGAGACGAGGGAAGTCGAACCGTACGAATACGTCGAGGAAACGCGACCTGTGTTCGACAAGGTTCTTGGGTTCACGCTACCGGCGTATATGCTCAGCACTTCGGAATACGAAGAGGAGTTTGACAAAGTGTTTTTGCATAGAAATTAGAATAGTAGACTGCTTGTAGTATCAGTCTTTGAAGGTAGATCGAGGTGTGTAACATTCTGAATAAAAATTGTTTAAAGAGATTCAAGTGGGATTTCTATTTAATTTTATTATTAATTCTAAAATAAATCTAAATCTAAATATGAGACAGAAAAATTTTGA